CTTTTTATTTCGAATTTATGTTGAGAACTTTTTCCGAAGGATTTCAAGAACATGTGAAGACGCATACCTTGAAGGTTGTAATTTGCAGATATTGTTTTACAATAGTTATGACGTTTTTTGTGTAGATTAATATTTTAGTATATGCGGAAAACTGTTGTTCATGTTTGCTTCTTTTGAAGAAAAGTGTCAAAGTAGATTGTTTCTACACAAAAATCATCATAACTTTGGTAAAACAACAACCTTCAAAAGATGAGTCCTCTTATGTTCTTGAAGTCCTTCTAAGATGGTGCTCTTATTGAAATAGAAATAAAAAAGTAGAAGGGTCTGTGCCTAGGGGCACGAACGGAAGCTTGACGTAGGACCGCTAGTGGACGGAACAAAGGTGTGCTGGTGGTTGCCTCCAGAATCCAGGGGGATGGAGAGCTTTGTCCAGCTGAGGCACCAGACGTTTCTGGACGGGGACCGGATTTCACCCGTGGATTTGCTTGACCGTGTTGCGTAGCCCGAATAGGCGGGAGTGTTTTCCTTCTTCCGTCCTGGTTGGCTTCTTGTGGACGCCTACTTTCGGATCCGCTTGAAATCATCGCGTTTGAGGCACTGTTTGTCGGACCCTTGATGAGCTCCACCACAGTTGGCGCATTTGCACCTTTCCGACTCGTCGACAACGCACCCGAAGGGGACATGATTTTGGGCACATTTGCTACAGCTCGGCTTGATGTAGCAGCTTAGGGTGCCGTGCCCGAAATTCAGGCAACGCTGACACTGGGTGACGTCGTGACGGCCGCACGGTATGGCTCCAATTGAACAATGATAGAGTTGTTGGAGCGGATAGCCTTCACACCAAAAAATTCTGAATTTTACTGGCGATGTAAACATCCATGCATGCAAACATTCATACATGTAAACTTCCTTTTCACGTAAACTAGCAGCTTGCAAAAAATGTTGCAAACAAAAGTGGACAGTTGCATACAATATATGGAATATTGCGTGACATGTCTCATAAATTTACACGATCTATAATCTAAACTTGTATGATATATGACGCTCCATTTATGTGCATCATAGTAACGGAAATTTACACTACATTTTTTTAGCTGTGTTCAACGCATTGAATGTCAAAGTTCCCTTCTGGAAATGCACCAGGACAAGGCAATCCGGATACGTTTTAACGTTATCCGGAAGACTGCGATTGGGGCTAGCTTGTAACGGTCCTTCTTCGATCGACTTGGGGTCAAAGTTCGGTAATTCCCTGATGATATTCCGCCCTGGAATTCTTCAGGTACTTCACGGTTGCTTCATATTCCGCTTTGGTACGCAGCATCACCTTGGTGCCGATCCTGCTCAGCTTGAATTCAGCTGCAACGCCCAGCGATGTGAGATCGCCAATAAGCGTGCTGAGTGAAACTTTCATCACCACCAGTGGAGGAAGCTTAACTTTTGCCACACTCGGGACGGCAGAATTTTCATGGTCGACGGTAACGCCAAATTCACCGATGCCGCTGACGTTCGTCATGGTGTAACGGCCACTCGCACCATCGGACTGGTCCTGATTCTTCTTCCTTTTCTTCGTCCGCCACCTTCGCTGGTGGGGCATTCCCAACATCGGTAGGGAAGAGTAGCGTACCTATTTGTGATAGGTACGCACGAGCTACCTTCAACACTGTTCTTCACTTTTACGGAGCTTGCTCCGGGAGCGCTGCCTTCCCATCCCACGATGCGACCGGCACTACGACGTGAACAAACGCGCAACTCGAACAACTCGACTGAGCGAATACACTACTCGAGTTTCAGATGGAACCATGGATATGTCCATCAACTGCGATCCTCGTGAATATCGACTGTTCTATGTTGGCGAGCGTTTTTTTTATCGCTGCTTTTCTCCTCCCTTCCTTTAATAGGTGAAATGGTGAGCCGTCAACCGAGCATTGAGCTCGCTCATGTGAGCTTGCTCAATGTGTCGTGTGTTCGACTTGCACTCTATCGTTGCGTCCGTGTTTGGGATTTTTTGTTTCATGTCTGTATTTTGATTTTTTTTTAAATGTGACCCCCAGTATAGAAATTAAAGACGTAGTCTTACGTTGAAAATTAGCGCAAAAAAACTGTTTTAAAAGAGTCACCCTAACTAATTATATTACTGAACATCAACAGGCGTTATTTGTCCCAATGATGTAACTTAAACTAAACATTAAAAGTACTAAAACAAAACATCAAAAAGTACATAGATAGTCATCTCGTAAGAAAAAAGGAACATTACTAAACAAACTAAACTGACCTAGAAAAAAACGAACTAAACCTCCGGCGAAGCAGCTGGCGAGTCAGGTCAAAATCAAACAGTGCGGAGGCCCTATTGAAGAGTCTCTCTAAACCACCGATTGCACCGAACATGCTATAATTAGTTCGCTGTATGGGCAGGCGCAGCATTGAATGATTCCGTAGGGCTCAGGGTTGAACATTGATGTCAATTTGCTCAAGGAGGACAGGGCAATCGGTGCGTCCTTTGCAAAATATCCGCAATTAGCAATGCCCTTCCTGTATCTCTTCGGACCGACAGGCAATCGGAAGGGATCCGTCCACGGCAGTTTACGTAGCGCATATCTCAGGAACCGTCGCTGAACAGACTCAACTCATTCGACACCGTTGTTGTAGTGAGGAGTCCAGACAACCAAGCAGTATTCTAATATGGAGCGAGACAAGGAGCAGTACAACGATTTAAGGCAGTAGATATCCGTGAAGTCTTTGGCAATCCTGAAGATAAACCCTAGAATTCTGGAAGCTTTGTCGACGGCGTGCGAGATGTGCTGCTTGAAAAAGAGTTTTGTATCCAGAATCACGCCTAGGTCCTTAATTTGGCTGACGCGCTTAATTTCAGTGCCTAACTAAACATACTTGAACATAATAGTCTCTTTCTTGCGCGAAAAAGAGATAACCGAGCATTTGGACGGGTTAACCTCCATACGATTCAGAATACACCAATCAGCAAAAGCATTCAGCTGACGTTGAAGGAAGCAACAGTCTTCAATTGAGTGAATTCGGAGGTAGAGTTTAACGTCATCTGCGTAAGATAATCGTGGTCCCTCAATTACCAGATTTACGTCGTTGAAATAAATCAGGAAAATCAGCGGTCCCAGGTGACTACCGTGGGGTATGCCGTATGTGGCAGCGAACGTACGGGACTGGTGATCACCAATGACAACAGTGAGATAGCGATCGGTGAGTTACGACTGAAACCATTGCAAAAGGCAGCTATGGATACCAAGCCTGTCTAGTTTAGCGATTGATATGCGGTGATTCAATTTATCGAAGGCAGCAGATAAGTCAGTATAAATGACATCCGTTTGAGCACGATCCAACATACTGTTAGAGATGTAGGAAGTAAGGCACAGCAAGTTAGTGGCAGTGGAGCGACCAGCCATGAAATCATGCTGGTCGATACTAATATACGGCTTACAGTGAGCAAGTAACGGTTCCATAACAACGAGTTCGAACAATTTAGCAACAGCGCTAAGCGAAGTAATGCCACGTTGGCAACTACGTCCTGTTTGCTGCCTTTCTTCTGTACTGGAAACATGTGCGCTAGCTTCTAACAGGACGGGAAAACACCGACGTCCACAGACCGTTGAAAAACGTGCAGCAGTGGAGACAGCAAACTGTCCAAGTGCGTTTTGAAGAACGCCGATGGAATTCCGTCAGGACCCGGATTGTACGACGACTTGAGTTTCGAGGAAGCCCTGAAAAACATCTCGGGATTGATGTCAATTCTGCTCATGGTTTGGCCAGAGAGTTGTACGTAACTTGCGCCAGTCGGGCATGGACGTCACTCAGTCTCTCGTCCGTGAGGACACTAGCACATTTTTCAGAGAACAGCTGACAGATATCTTGCGTAGATGAGGCCACGTTGATATGTTGAAGAGATATAAGTTGTTTGAATTTAAATTAATTTCAACTTTGTACAAACAAGTAATCCTCCTAACCTAGTAAATAAAAAAGTTTAAAAAAGATGTATAAGGAAGGCCTCCGTAGATATTACCTGAACTAAAACGAAGATCTTTACTTGTAAACAAACTCTCTTGAAGGTGTCAAACCTCTATAGTGCATATTTTTCGAGATATCAATTTCCGACCATAGTGGGGTGTTGTGTATTTTGCATTGTCTAGTGTGAGGAGTTCAGTATGTGCAACCTCAGGTTTAACCATTCACTTAGGGGAATTGACTAAAGCCACTGAAGTCATATGAGCTTTTGAAATGACGGCTTCATCGATACGATTGCCTTTAATCGTCAGCCTGATGATGGCAAATTGTTATTCTAGAAACAAATTTCACGTTTACGCAAAACCATTACACGAAAGACATACTTACACGCATCTGTGACGAGGTGTCTCGCCATCTCCATTAAGCTCGCGAAACCACGTTTATTGCTACCGGCAAACTTTCAAACGACAACATCCCAACGAGAAAGTAAGTATTATGTGCCCACTACCGCCAGGTGGTCTTGATGGCAAAATGTCGTCTTCTAGCGCTTTATTTCGAGTCATTTTACGCTCGGCTTCACTTTCGCTGAAAGCTTTTCGCTATTTTCCGAATCTTATCCAGCCCAGCAAGACTGCGGGTATTGATTTTTCGGAACATTTGAATAGTTTTGAACTTATTAATGCTGATGTGATGAAATCATTGCAAACTTTGAAACGATCTGATATCGAGTTATGATTTATTTCAACTTTCACTCGTTCCAAGCGCTCGGCTGCCGGAGGAATAACATTCTTGAATTATAACAACATTCTGCTTCTGCTCGAAAACTTGCGTGCCACCGCAGCATAAACTGTACGTCAATGCTTTGAATGGGTACAGTGTGGCTAATAAAACATTTTATAGCTTTTTACAATGCAAAAAGAGAAATGGCTTCACTAGCGGTGGAGTTGTTTCAGTTTATGGTATGATTTTAGGTGTGGGTAGGTGCCTCGTTAGAAGTTAAATCATTTAACGGTTGAATAATTAAGTCTTACCTTCAGTTCAGCAGGTTTTCATCAAGTTCCAAGGGAAAACAAAATCATCTCTGTCGCCATATTGTGTGGATTCTCGGTTGTTTCAACTGAATGCTTTCAACCTTGCTAGATTTGTTCTATTCGTTCGTCATCGTTATTATACAGCCAAATAAAAAAAATCCTCGCTCATTCCACCTAGAACAGCACGTGAATATACCTCAATTAATTTCACTGACGCCAATTATCCAATCATGCACTGTTCCAACTGCTGCTGGTTGCAGGTCCCCTTGCCTTGCACTCAATTCGTTGAAGTCGTACCACTTGTCGTCGTCGTCGATGACTTCGTCTCTTCAGAGGTTAGGGTTTCTGCAAATACAGTCACAAACAGAAGCAACATAGAAGAAAAAAAAAGAGTAAGAGAGAGTGAGTGCAAAAAAGTTAATTTAATAAAAAAATTCAATTTTCGTATACTTTCACCGGTCGTTGGCGTGTGCACTTTTTGCCGTTTACTGCTGTTTGCAAACAACCATCCCACCAACCCTTTTTCAACCCCGGATCGGAAAATTGAAAACCAAGGACCATCATCGTTACCACACCGCACCGACAACCGACTGCCGACCGACCTAGAGCGAGAGACGGAAACGGCAGACTTCATCCACCGTGCCACCGAAAAGGAGGACAAATTTCCCAGCAACAAAAGTTCAAACGACCTTTCGGCAGCCATAATTTCTGGGCTCACGAGTGGAAAAGTGAAAGGAACTGTAGTGAGTCAGTGGTGAGGGAAATTTCACCTCACCCACCGGCCTTCGTCAAGCGTTTCTTAGCCGTGTGATTCTGGAAGTGAGAGGTGTGTGTGTGTGTGTGTGTGTGTGTGTGTGTGTGTGTGTGTGTGTGTGTGTGTGTGTGTGGAAATTATGCTTTTTTAGTTTTTGCGATTTCAGAAGATTGATTGGATATTTCGTCGGGACAAAATCTTCATTAAGATAAGCTCACATTGTGCTCTCTTATTCAGCATCTTAATTAGTTTAAAAGAAAAGGACAAATGCTCGAATATTTCCTCAACACAAAGCATCAATTTCCATTATCAGTATCTTTTATCCAAAACAAACAATTTATAGTCCATTATCGCCCTTCAAGTCTGGATCAAGATCCACCGCCTCATTCAAATCAGCTTAGAAAAATGTCCAATCCTTAATCTAATCAGGCTCATTTCTCGCAATGTATAATGCTTCATTCTTTCAACCAAGACCCCTCTTTGTTCGCACCCACTCCAAGTGAGTTTTTCATCTTTCGCCAATTTCCACTTCCAAACCACCACTGACGGTTCGTTGCCGGCCTAATATTCGTTAGTCTGTATACCACAGTCCGCCAACCCGACCGAGGTGGTCCTCCGGGACCGCCCAAACGACCGACCTACCGGTTGGTATCAGGCGTCTCCATCAAGATGACGTGATTACATGATCTTTTCAGTTTCGTTTCCGATTGGAGCGGAGATGGACGCCGCCGAATCACCGAGAGTGGCAAAAATTGAATTATTGTCGGCGCAAATTTAATTCAATTTGGGATTTACGGTTGCTTGACTCGAAACATCATCACCGTTACTGAATGGCCCGATGCCATGCTATTTTCTTGCCTTTTTTCTTTCGTGCTTTGTGGAGGGGAGACATTTTGTACTTTCATTGATGGTTGTGTGGGTGTTTTTTTTTTCACTGATCCTTTGGGTTCCAGGTTTGAGCATGAATAGATATACCGGAAGCGAGTGCCTTCACCGTCGTCGTCGTTTGGCCCGTGTTCGCTTTGGTGAAGAAAAGTCTCCCACCATCGCCGAATGATTGGGAAGTGTGCGTATTCCTATATAAATCATCAAGCCAAATGAATTGGCTCAGTCCGTCCGAAAGTAGGTACCTATCGCTGCGAGTGGTGGCACGGGTGAAGCAGAAAACGCATTTATGCTTCGTTTCACAAAGTCACGCGATCATCGCTCCTGCTTTCATTTAGCTGAAGGTGCCTTCACCTCCCACGGGGTTGGTAGTGGGACCGGCTGGAGTTCTATTAGTGGGAATAAACATTTCCACGCTGTTAAGGGGGAATAAATGTCATTACCTTTCGTTAAATTGCTATACTGGTGTTGAGTTGTGGCTTGTTCTGTTGATGAACTACTAACAACCATGGTTCGCTTTGTTCGGGCAATGGACTGTGGGTTGCACGAGAATTTCGACTAAATTTGAAATTGGTAAATTACACAAATTAAATTTGGCTGTCAAGTGGGTCAGTTAACACTGCTTTGCTGCGGAAAGTACAGAACAGCTGATATTGAATTATGGATATGTTGGATTTTATTAAATGTACAGAAGTCTCTATTTCAGTATTTATTACGGAGCTGTTCGGAATCAGCTTCAAGGATTGTAGAAGGTCCGGAAAGTTTGGGACACGTTTGAAAGATGCTAAACAAGCCTATTTAATTTAATGATGCATCTTTCGTTTATTCGTACCAAAACCATCTTAAACCATTTCAGGCGTTAATAACCTAAGTAGTATCTCGACGCCCTTAACTTCATTAGCGTGGCTTCAAACCTTCGAAGTAGAATTTTATTAAAATACAACTGAATATTCTCCAAGCTTGTTATGTGCTGCTTTGACTCAATCTTTGTAGATTGAGCATGAGCTTGAGCATGATTGACCGCCCACGGTTGCTACTCTGTTATTGCCAGATCAGTTGTAATTACACAGAGAAGCAATGGACGATGCTTGGGACTAGCAATCATCCTCAATGTGTAAAAACTGGTGATCTAAATCTAGGCAACACCAGCGCCGGCCGCGCCCGAACACAGGTCAGAAAGAATTGGGTAGCAATGTGTTGACGCTTTGATGGAAGCCGAGAACACCTCTGCACTTTCACGAGAAATCACTGGGATATTGGGTAAGAGGGTTGGGATTGCAGCAAGTTTCGTTTTGGTAAACGATAAGCTAAATTGATGCCCTAACGATCATATAACGCAAAAGAGCTTGGAATTAAACCCATGATATTCTGCTCAGTAAGCAAACGAGCTCCTTTTATTACAACCAGTGTTGGGAAAATATCAAAAATTCAAATCTCACCCACGCCCAAGATCACGCTTGATTTTCGTAAACAACTCTCAGCATGATTTTTGCACGTTGTGGATAGTCTTGCAATATCAAAGGAGCTTGTAAAATCAATATCAAGCATGATATTTTGTTCCAATATCACGCGTGATATTACGAGCGCATGAGAACGGGAAAATATCAATTGATGTCTGATTTTGCCAACACTGATTACAACACACCAATGATCAATTTATTGTTATTCCAAAGAATTCACATTAACAATTTAAGCAATTAACGAATCTTGAATGTGGAGGGGCTTGAGATTAAACTCATGATCAGGCCCGTAGCCAGCATTTGGTTTCGGGGGGAGCTAATTTTATGACATAAAAACTTCAATGATTTATAAAATGTGCGCCTAACTGAATATCGATTGATACACTGTTTTTTTTTACCTTAACCAAAATCGTTCAAAATCATGTATCATTATTTATTTTATTTTTTTAATAATTCGTTTTAATATGTGATTGGAATTTTTAATGCACCATCAGAATGTAAAATAATAATTTTTCAAACTCTTTAATACGCAGTTATGAGAAAAGTTAAACAAATGTATGCAATTCAAGAAAATATTTGTAGTTTTAATTGTTTTCTGTTGGTAATGATGATCAAGATTTGCATTCTGTTAAGAAAGACAAAAATTTGTTACATATTTTTTAAAACATAATTATTTTAATATTTTAATGGTGTTGGATCGTAAAATCACCGGCAAACATCCCTCGATGCAGTGGTAGCAATGTGATCCACACGAAACACGAACAGCGAATATTGTTGCCTTCATCATTCTGTATGTTTTTAAGTTTTTGTTTTAACATCACTGTATTTTTGTTTTGTTTTTGAATTGATCGTTATTCTGTGATATTTTGTATTGTTCCAGTTAGCTATATAAGTGCAAATATTTAATGCAATTAGATTAAGTTTGAATTTGACTTCCGATAAGGGTGCTGCCTGAAAGAGGTAATAAATAGTGAATGAGAAATGTATTCTTTTACTTCATTTGAATCAGTTGCCGATCTCCAAACTGCTGTCCAAAAATCTGAGCAACAAATTAAACACAACGTAGAGCCATATCCTGGACATTATACCTACCTTACCTTACCAATCAGGCTAAGGCCTTGTTGTCCTCTGCTGTCCGAAGAAGTCGTCTCCACTCTACTCGATCCATGGCCACAGTTCGCCAGCCTCGTAGTCTGCGAAGGGTCCGCAGGTCACCTTCTACTTGGTCGATCCACCTTGCCCGCTGCGCGCCTCTTCTTCTTGTTCCTGTTGGGTCGCTTTCTAGAACCATTTTCACTGGGTCGTCGTGCGGCATTCTTACGACGTGCCCAGCCCACCGTAGTCGCCAAATTTTTGCAATGTGGACGATGGATGGTTCTCCCAGCAGCTGGTGCAATTCGTGGTTCATTCGCCTCCTCCACGTTCCGTCATCCATCTGCATTCCACCGTAGATGGTACGCAACACCTTCCGTTCGAAAACACCAAGGGCGCGTTGGTCCTCCACGAGCATAGTCCAGGTCTCGTGGCCGTAAAGGACCACCGGTCTAATCAGCGTCTTGTAGACAGTCAACTTCGTGCGGCGGCGAATTTTATTCGACCGGAGCGTCCTCCGGAGTCCAAAGTAGGCACGATTCCCTGCCATAATGCGTCTTTGAATTTCTCTGCTGGTATCATTTTCGGCGGTCACCAGTGAGCCCAAGTACACGAACTCATCGACCACCTCGATTTCGTCACCGTCAATCTGAACTCGGGGTGGGAGGCTAACATTGTCTTCCCTAGAACCTCTTGCTTTCATATATTTTGTCTTTGATGCGTTGATGGCAAGTCCAATCCGTCTAGCTTCAGCCTTCAGTCTGATGTACGTTTCCGCCATCATCTCAAAGTTCCGTGCCATAATGTCAATGTCATCGGCGAAACCAAGGAGCTGGATGGACTTCCTGAATATCGTGCCACTCGTGTCTATCCCAGCTCTTCTGATCACACCTTCTAACGCGATGTTGAACAGCAGACACGAAAGTCCATCACCCTGCCGTAACCCCCTTCGAGATTCAAAGGGACTCGAGAGTGTCCCCGATACTCGAACAACGCACGTCACTCGATCCATCGTCGCCTTGACCAATCGCGTCAGTTTATCCGGAAATCCGTACTCGTGCATAATCTGCCATAGCTGATCTCGATCGATTGTGTCGTATGCGGATTTGAAATCGATGAACAAATGATGTGTGGGCACGTTGTATTCGCGGCAT